AAAATGTTATTTCATTGCATTCTACTAATTCATTACAGTTTATGGTTTATATCATTACGTCATATGCGGCATCTGTATTGGATATGTTCTACTTTTGTGACCTCTTTCTTTTTACTCTGCGATCATATGAATATGACCTGGCTTCATAACATTGTTTTTCTTTTATGAGGCATGTATATATATATATATATATATCTTTCAGTTCGATTCGTTAATTCTTTTTCTTTTTGTGTCTTTGGAAAACAGTAGAGTAGACTGAAGTCCCATGATTGTTTAGCAAAGTGCCAATTGGTTAGGTGGTGTTTGTGTGGATATTGGAATACGTACTGGAGCCTTCGAATGAGAACTGCATTGGAGGGGGTGGGGGGGTTGGTGGTGGTGTGTGAAATGTAGTATTGTCTTAAGCGTGCCAGCATTGTTGTGAGAGGAGAAGTTACAAGTTACTGTTGTCCAGCTGTGCATGTTTTGCCAGCTTTGTGGTTTCCTTTTTGTTGGGGCGGTGGACGTTACCAACTAAAACGTTTTTGTTTAGGTACGGTTGAGATCATGGTCTGTCGTTCGACATTGTAATATATGTCAAAATTATGAAAAAAATGAAAATCAAGCATGTTGGAGAGTTAGATGAGGGGCATCGATTGATCCTTGTTTGATTCCTACGCTTAAAATAAATAATAGTAATCGATTTTGGTGAATGAACATAACGTTCTACTTGAAATAGATTTTTGCTTCTCCTGAAAAACCACACATTGAAACGTATGGCAGAGATGAATGACAGCGACGAAATGCTGTCAGCTGGGTTTCCTCTGTTTTCCAGTGTAGCCACTGGGTTTGTCTGGATGGAATGGCTAAAAAAGTTCTTATCCTTCTATTATATTTAAGGTGGTGGTCTAGCAGCACACTCCTATACATGTCTATGATTGGGGAGAGAATGCGTAGATTTTCTGACAAGAGGACGTTTTGGACACCTTGAGAAGGTTGGCTTGGTTAGAGCTCTGTACTGATAATTCCTGGAATTAGTGAGATCGTTACCAGGCAACTCAGACTTGGGATTGTTTTACACTCCGACCTGGGAGGTAGGCCTTGACGAATGAAACAAAATACGAGGTTCAAATAAAATTTGTTCTGATGGAGCACGTGGTAAGGAGGATGGTGCGCGTGTTGTCTTTAAAAAAATTAAATTTTAAAAATTTAAAGATCACAGACTATGTGGTCAGGGCTGAGGAGTGAGGACATCTTTCAGTTTGGTGGTGATCGAATGTGAAGTGGAGTGGATTGTTTGTGTTTTAAAAAAGAAGCATTTTTGTTGGTTTAAAAGACAGAATGAGAAAAAGAATGGCTGACAAAGAACATCAAGAACATCCTGTCTGAAGAGATTGTTTGAGGAACATTCTCTCAGTTCTTACAGAAATGTCCCCATCATGAAGAGAACGCTTTTTTTAAAATTTTGAAGTAAGGAAAGCAATGCTGTATACATTGTCTAAGTTCACATTTCATATGTACCCATCATGTGTTTTGTTTGTTCATCTGGGTTGTTTTTCTCGCCAAGCTTTATTTACACTTCCATTTATTGTCTTATATAATACCATGCTTTTTCTCTTGATTTTTAAAAAAACTTCAAGTACTTGATTTGGTTTGTTTCTGTTTTTTTTTGTGGTTTTTTTTTTTTTGTTGGTAGGTTGATCTTTTAATGTCTTTTCCCCTCCCTTTCTTAGATGAGGAGATATAATATTCACAATTGGATGTCATTATCATTCTAAGACGAATTTGGTTATTTTGTCATGAACACACAAGTCACAATAAAGTGAGTATCCACCCTTGGTATGAGCATGTGTTTGTTTCTTATGTTCTCATTCTTTTCTTTGCATGCTACTGTCCAACCTGGTGGGTGGTTGGCGGGTGGTTGGCGGGTGCTCTGGTGTGGTTTCAAGTCATGGTTTGCTTCTCCTTTCCTGTCAAACGTCTATCGTCCTTATCTC